AAATGTTTCTTAAGAAAAAACAATATTTTATCTATTATTTTCAATAATTAATCTCTGTACAGGTTCAATAGATTTGATTGAACTCGCAACCACCATAAAACATTAGGAAATAAATATAAATTATGCTTCTTTTATTCTAGAATGAACACAAATTATAACATGAAAACATAATTGTTTAGACTAAATAGCTCTAATCTCTTAACATCATACATTTATATATATTTATTATTTTTATTATATTTACCTTTCTGCCGTGTCTGGCTAACAATACAGAAGTTACAATGACGCGGCTCAGGTGCACTGGTGTTACCGTGTCAAATATCATAAAATTGATCTTTGATCTGTGCAAAGTAATTTGTCTTGGCTGTGTTTTAGTCAACTAGTATTTTGTAAAATACAGTCACATTTTAATTATTATATATTATATGTGTATATAGATTATTGCTATTTTGAAATAAGTTCTTAAACTTACTTTTCTTAAAATATAGAACAGTAAATAAAGAAGTAAATCAAACAATTATTTCTTTTAATTACGACCTTTGTACTCGGTTGCTGCTTGACGTAGGTTGCTAAGCCTTTAAAAATTTTGCATGTGAAGGTTTTATATATACATATGAATAACTAAAAAATCATAAATTACTACATTAATACCACAGAATTCCACTGTAATTTATCAAGCTTAGTAGCTAAGATGTGTTTTAGTCTAAAAAAATATGAAATTTCTAGCAGACTAAAGACACATTCTACCTCATTGAAATGTTGGTTCAAAAGAAAGAAATGGTGCCAAGTCTGTTAAAATGGCTGAGAAAGCCACTTGGGGGACATTCCGAGTTTCAGATTGGTTATTCATGTCATATATAGATGTAAGTGTATATAAGGGAGCATTTCCAAAAAATAGAAAGAGGTGAGCAGGGTGTTACTGTGTTTCATTTATTACATGAGCAATATCTTAGAAAATTGAAAAGAGGCTCTTATTTTATATTCTAGCTTGTCAATATCAGTAATTTGAGTTACTAATTCGTTCGAAACTATAGACTCAGTACTTTGACTTCACAAACATCTAATCTGAACCAGTGCTGCATTCAACATGCCACGTGACACACAAAAATCGATGTTTAAGAAACTAAAAAACTGAGTAATATATAGTACTAAAATTTGAATTATAATCTACAGTTTGGTATCCAACTTATTGACATAAATTCATGAAATAGTAGTTCAATAAAAGTTTGAATGCAAATTAACAAAGGAGATGACATGGCCTTTCACCTGTAACCTGTAGTTCAGGAACTATCATGTGATTTTTTATTTTGCAGTATATATATATTGTCAGTTTTTATAAAATGATTAAACAGAAAGAAAACTAACTTTATGATTAGCATCATCATTTTGTTGTTTTTTGTTTTGAAATTATCACATTTTTAGTGTGTCATTCCTAAAATAATCTTTGACTGACTCAATTTTATTGATATTTATCATATAATCAACTTAAACCAGATCAGGGCTATTTGTAAGTTTTGAACAAGTGCATTGCATTTAATATATAATCTTAAGCTACCTTATGTTCTAGAGTCAAATCTGTTGACTGTAAATGTAATACACAGTCATGCAGAGAAAACTGATTACAATAGCAGCAATAAAGGTTAAATAACTAAATACAGTTTGTTTACATCATGTATTACTGCTGTATTAGTGCACAGATCTTGTCTTTTTTTCTTATGTATGTTCTTTTGAGTAATTGGGCAAAAAAGTGAGACGTACATACACACAGTACTATAACTAATAAAAAAGACTTGAATATCTAAAGAAAAGAGAGAGGTAAATATAGAATAATAAAAAATAATTACTTAAAACCCCTAGCTTACCAAAATGATGCCTCTAGTGGAAGCTAGGTACTTCTGCCCACATTAACATTGGGCCCCCCTCCTCTCATAAATTAACAGTTTAAGCTGGGGGTAGCTCAATATTAGGATTATGAGAAGGCCATAGACTTATAAAATATTCCCTTAAGCCTTAACAAGTGGTATCAACTTTGTTAAGCATTTTATTCTCTAAAAATATCATAGCAATAAACAATAATAAGAAAGGAAAAATTAGAAAAGTAATAGACTTTACCAAAACAATGTTGTTTTTTCAAAGTCTAGATTTAACTGTGTGTGTTATGTATATTGTTTATAAATTCTTTAGTTATTTTTATTTCCAAACACTTTGAAAAGTGTACAGATATAATGGTAAAATAAACTTTAAAAGTTATTAAAATTAACTTATATCCAACCTTGTTTTTAACTTGTACTTTTAAGTGTAGACTTTCTTATTAATCCTAGTTTTTGAGAAAAGGTTATTCTGTATGCACTGGAAAAAGTTGTAACATCTAAACTGATTTATTAATTTTTTAATTGTACTCTATTACATCTAGTTGCAAAACACTTTTCAACTATCTAGTCTAGGTTATCAAAACACACAAAAAAATGTATTTACATATAAGCAACGTCATCATTGTTGCAGTAACATTTTTGTTTTCTTTACTTGCTTTGAACTCTGTAATATTATTTGTAACTTTCAAAATTAATTTTCAACAACTAAAGATAGAATATGTGGATATGCTGTAAGTGATATTTTATTTTCAAACTGTTACACATACAGTTCTTACACTGGGGTAAATGTATTAATAAAAATAGTTTCCAAGTTTGTTATTAGGTTGAATCTTAGACATAAAGATTGAAATTAGGGTTTTCATTATGTGAAGTCTTTCACTGTTTCACAACTAAATATTCTGTAAATTAAAAAAACTGTGTATATACATATAAAGTTAAGGCTCAGTTCATCAGCAACAGTCAGTGTGATAGAAATTTGTCTTAATATTTTCTATATACAGATGGTTTTGTATCATGGGAGGGAAAAAAGCTTTATGATGTAATATTGGTGTAGATTAACTCTTCCCATCTTAGAGTTTTAGAAATACTTAATGGAACTAAAATATTAAATGAGCTTGCATGTGGTAAAATGGTATTAAAGTTTAACATCTAAAATAACTTTAGAAAGTTGTTTTGTTAAAACTAGGTGTTTATACTATCTTTCAGAATATTAAGTTGCAAGTTGATGTAGAAACTTTACATAAAGAACTCGAGCAGAAACACAAGCTTTTACAAGATGCTTTGTAAGTGTGCATTTCTTTACATACTAATGTTTGTTACTAACAGAATAGTTAGATGTATTTTTTCAAGAAATCTACAAACTGCTCCATGATTATTTTTATTTTTGCAATATGTAAATGCATCATTTCAACTGTTTTATTCAGTTGTAAAATAATTAAAAATTTGTTATGTAGTTCTTAAAACTTAGTTTAACAAGAGACTTAAAACATTTCATTTTAGAACTTTTAGGTACACCTAACACTTACATATTTGTAACTTTATTGTATATGTATTTCAGTCAATGGATGTTTTACATGCATTTTTTTTTCATTTTTTAACAGTGAAGTATTCAGTTCTCTATGTATGCATTATGACTATGTTGTTAGTTTGCCTTTTTACTACATTAATTTTGAATTGAATATGTTTGCTACTATTTTTTGATTGTATATTGCTGTAATACATTTTTAAATACCATCTTGATAGCTTAGTGTGTGTAATAATATTGGAAAAATTTGATATCTTAATCTATTTTGAAGTAATGTTTTATACAAGCAACAGATGTAAGCAAGGTTTGAAATTTACCATATAATGGTTGGTTTTGAAAACAGAATGCTACCTGATGTATATAAAGTGGGTTACCAACTTGTATTGTGTGCATTAAGTTCCATGACCAAGAATTATCACAAAAATTACCTATATAGCTGGCAAGTCATAAAATTAAATACCATTTATTTTTTACAATGGGCAAGAAGTGGTGTATAAATACTGCTTGATGATTGGTCAGAACACACACATGAGTAGTCAATCACATAACTCGTTTCACACAATCGAAATCTTGTTCATGCATGTGTCTGTGTGAAATGCTGAACTTGATACAGGTACTAGGAGATGAACTTTAACAGCACATTGTCATACATGAAGTTGAAGAAGGGCCACATTGAAGTGTGGGATTTTTAGTTCATGAGGACACTTAATTGCGTCTTCTTAATTCTCATAAAATTATCATATTTATGCCAGGAAATAACATCATTTATGGAAAAGCTAATTTTATGTGTGATTTTGAAATGTTTCTCACATATGAATATCTTAACTGTTTATTCTGTCCAGCATTTTGCATTTCATTAATAAATAGTTGCAAGCTGTTCCATCCTTTTGTAGGGATTTTAGAGAGTATATTTGTTACATGTTTAAATTCTTCTGAAATGTTTTTTTTTCTTACAACATTTCTAGCCTAACTACTGCTACTTATTATTTTGATTTTACTAAACTTAAAAGTAAATGTCACCACATGATCTTATGATTAAAATTTTTTTTTCCCTGTTTTAGCATATGCTTGTAGGAATTATTAAATATAAACTAGTTTGTAAACCTGTTATTTGAATTGACTTTTACAAAGCATAATATTTGGCATGTACTGCAAATTCTTTGATCCAATGACATGCATATGTATTATAAATTCAGTACTTAACATTGCAAATAGTGGTATTAACCATCACATTATGGTGCCCCACAGCTAAAGAGGTGAGTATATTTCAACAGTGGGATTCGAAACCATGATTTGCAGATTCTGTGTCAAATGCCCTAATCACCATGCCAACCAGGCCCTACAGTTCTGTACATATTTACTCACTTTCTTTTAATTTAGTTATACATGTGGTTCTAATGTGTAAAAAAAATTGCTTGAAATTTGTAATTTTAGAAATGTATGTATTTCTTGCATACATTTCCAGACATGCAAAGAATCACAAAGATAAGTGATAATGCATTTATTGCTCCGGTGTACAGCCTATAGAAGTAACTACAGTGTATAAACTTTCATTATTTATTAGAGGGACTTTAGAAAAGTTAGAGCAAAGTCACAGGAGAGAAATAGAAGAATTAAAAGAAAGAAACAGTGAAGAAAAATGCCATCTTGAAGGGAAATTGATAGTGCTAGAAAAAGTAAGTCATTGCTTCTTGATACCTGCCATAGGTCTATTTTCTGCTCATATTGTTTTGACATCACTTTTGTAATTAGAAAAGCTAAAGATTTTGGTTTTAATGCCTTGAATCAGGTCTACAGTGGATCAGTGGTAAGTCAGAAGACTTATAACACTAAAAACCAGGTTTCAATACCTGTGGTGTATACAGCACAGATAAGCCCATCGTGTAGCTTAGTGCTTAACAAAAAAAAAACAATTGGTTTTACAGTCTTGAAAGCTGTTAGTAAAAATGTCTGAGAAAACATAAAAATACTATATTTTTGTCTTCACCAAGCTCATAATAAGCAAAATATTAATATTTATAGGTAAGCATTACTGACATTGCTTAATTAAATTTTATTAGGAACTCCAGCTTGAGAAACAATTTAGAGTCAAAGAAAATGATCAGAATAATGAAGCTTATAAACAAGCTTTTGGTTTGGAGACAAGTCAGGTAAGGCTATGAAGAAAAGGAACTACTGATTACTTTTTTAAAAAAGTTGTTTTTGTAATATTTATATTGAAATATGTGTGTGTGTGTTACTTTAAATGTGTGTATATCTTATTAGTTGATTAAATTTTTATTTTTTTTTTAAGAATATTTCAAAAGAAAAAATTTCAATTGTGTGTTAAAAATTAAAATGCTATTTTGTTTCAAGATCTATCTTAACTACTTCTATGTAACCTTGATCACTTTAACTAACCTTACAACCACCATGTAACCATGAAACTGTACATACTATAACTTTTAATGGAGTAAGCGTAGCTTTTAATAAACATTACAAGTCTTTTTGTACCCCAAAAATATCAGGTTAATTTGAGTGCTAGGTGGATTTCATGAAGATTAAAAATGCTTTTTTTGCATCATACAGCTTTCAAATTTTATTTGCATAACCTCTAGAACCTCCTAAACAAATATCACAAGTTTTTCAGAAAGACTTTTTATTTTATCTGTTGTATTCACTATCCTGTTTTATTGCTCTATGTGACTGTTTCTAACTAATGAACCTACATAACGAGCTAAAATTCACCTGGCAAACATATATAGATCAAGTTACATTATTGTATTATGTGTTACATGGGCTTCTTGTGGTAAATACTTGTGGAGAAATTTTATTTCATTTGTTTTAGCTAACCTAATAAGTTTTCTAATTTTTACATTTTAGTCACTTTTATAACAATAGAAAACAAAAAAGAAATTTAGTTCTTACATGTGAGTCTTGTTCTTTTTTACATTTGAACTCTCAATAAAAGTTAACCTTAATTTTTGATAGGGCTGCTCTTAGTACTTTACTGAATTTTTATTTATTTCAAATATTCAACTTAGAACACAAAATAATAATGCATGGAGCATACAATGTCCTGTAACTATTATAATTTAAATGGCTTTCTTACTAAATTATGAGTGTGTTGAAATAATTCCCTTAGCTGGTTGAGCTGAACTTGGTGATAGCAAGTTTGAATCTGTATGCAAGATAATTCAACAGTTGTGAAGAAAATGAGGTAGCATTATATGTAAATAAATAAATAGAATATTCTCTTTCTGTGCAAACTTTAGAGAGAATTATTGACTTTTGTTAAAAGACAGTATGTGACAGGAGGGCATGGCATGTAGTTTTGACATTCTGTTCTATATCTAAGTAAAGCGATATGATTGGAGGCTATAAATTATAGTTTATATCTTAGCAATATATATATATACGTGTTTGTAATTTGCATTAAAACTCAGAAACATAAATAGGTGTGGATAGATGACCTAAAGTATGCACTTTGAAGTGAGCAATTGTCATGTGATACGAAAAAATGTTGATTGATAATAAAGTAGTTTACTTAAAAAGTATATAAAGGTCGTGACATGAACAGTTTTATGTACCCATATCCAGAGGGTTAAATTAAATTTTCATATACTTCTGGGATTTCTAGTATATTGATTGGCAACTTTATATATTTTCAATATTTATTAAAGTATTTTATTTCATCATTGTTTTGATATAATACTAATTTAACTTGCCATTTATGTGATGGCCATGCTCAGTTTTGTACTGAGTGTGATTTTTTGTTTTTATAAATAGATTAACATTCAAAATACCATATTACTTTTTCGGAGAAATTGTCATATGATTATTATTATTTATTTAATTTTTTGGAAAAGATTTGTCTACATGAAACATATTTATGCAGTCTATTATAATATCAAAATTCTCCATTAAACTGTCAAAACAATATATTTCATACATAAATGCTGTATTGTCTTAATTTGTTTTAGTTAGAACTGAAAAGTATTAAAAGTTTGATCATCTTTTTTTTTTTAACTTATCGGATATTTTCTGATTAATTTTTGATTTTAGCAGAAACTGGGTGAAGGGTAACTTTGTGGGTTTGCTGGTCTCATACGAATGTTTTATATTGTGGTTTTAATGCTTTCAAAGCTTTGAAAGTAAAATTTGAGAAGCTACCAATAATCTTTCAGTCCTTACATAATAAGTAATTATTCTGATTTATTTTCTTTTGAAACAAAGAAATATTTGTTAAATATATTTAAAGTCATCTCTGATTTCTATAATGAAAGTTCATTTATTTTGTTTTTATGTATTTAGTTAATATAACTGAATTCCATTTATAAAAACAGGTTTTATGGGTTCTGAGAAATCCCAAAATTTGTAAGTTTAATTTCCAGACCTAGAAAGTTTTTGAAAAGTTATAATAACTGAAAGTCTCAAAAAACTAAAATGTCTTCAAAATATTTTTATCCAAAAATTTTAAGATATTGGTGAATAAGACATTTTGGTGAACTGTTTAAAATCCAATTTCTGATGGCCCATCAGCTTATTTACTTGCCAGAACATCAAGTTAAATATATCATGGCAGTTGTATCTGTATTCTAAACCCTGAATATATAATTATTTACTTGTTGCCTCAGCTATTGTGTTGAAATAATGATTTGTAATTAACATGTCAAGGGTTGACCAGTAATCTAATAACACAAGGTTTAAGTGTAGAGCTAATTTTTCTAACATATTCAACATTTTACTGGATAATGCTGACATCCAACTGAAGAACTTGTGCTTTCTAGTTATGATAAGCTGTTTTTGTGTGTGTGTGTGTGATTTGCTTTATGACATTATATGCTCTTAGTTAGACTAGTCTGTAGAATTAGTTGCATTATTTATATATATAATTAGCTTGTTTTGATCAGAAATTATTGATAATTACCTTGGAATAAGCACTGTTCTATTATTAACATTTCTTTTAATTGTGATGTTACTACATTTCATGAATCAAAAATACTTTTTGTGTACAAGAAGGTTTCATATTCTAAAGATGAGCAATGGGCATACAGAATCAGGTATTTAAGTGATTAACATGAAAAAATAAATAACATTGTTTTATTATTCATGTGAGTCAAAATCTTATTCTGTAAATTATCACTTTGTGTAATTAGTAAAAGACAAGTTGACCATGAAATCACCTTGAACTTGACCAAATGTGATGCTAGTGCCACTAAGTTTAAGTAGTATGTTTTTGGTTTTAGCCATCTCAGTTTTTCAATAGTCATTAGAAATAGTATACCACACAGCTATATTTATGTTGTATTTATATTTTAACTGAATGTGCTTTTAGTCAAATGTACAAGTCTGTTGAACACAGAAATTCAGACTTGTTACAAAGGTATTTGTACTTGAGATACTTCTGTGAATTGGCAACATTCCGACTCTGACAAACTAGAGCGAAAATGATGTTCATATGATGAACACAAGTACTTTTATCCAGCATGTAGTTTGCAAATTGTATTTGAATAATTTCTAGAACCTCTGAAATGCACATCTAAAGTTTTTTTCAGTATTCGTGTTTATTATATCTGGTATTTTCTCTTCCACAAACTTTGCTAAATCATCAGTATAGGGTAAAATGAATGGATGATAACTGATGTCAGATTGATTGTGAATGGCATTCTGCAAAAGGTTGTGGCATGCACATAGATTAATTAATGAAATTCTTAAAGTCCATATCATTGCTGGGACTGATCCTCAGCAGATCATAATAGGAAATATAAAGAAATATATTGTCATGCTTGGTTTACAACTGCAATTGATACATATTTTTAACACATGGGCGTATACTTGTACAATACAAAACTCATGTTTTAAATGCTTATAGTTGGCAGTATTCATATTATGTGTTTCTATAATGTTACTTCACATGGAAACAAAAAAGATGGTACATGATAAATAACGTTGTCTTTAAACTACAAAAGGCCTTGATAGAGAAGTCTATGTCAGCCCAATCTAGAAACAGGCAGGAGCAGTCCATTGAACCTAAAAATGTACCATTTCTACAATGCACAAAATACATTTGAAACAACAGTGTTCAAACATGTTCAGAACTGTCATGATTGTTGAACTTTGAAATAAAATAAATGATATCTTCAGCTAGTGGAGTACATAAAGGCCTTTTAGTTCACAGTGTATAGTTATTTTTATAATAGGATCATTTTATAATAGCTAAGTGAAAAAACAACAACAGCAGCCTGTTGTGGTGTGAAGTTGTGTGTAATATATTTTAATATAGTACTATTCTGTTGTAATAGTATTTTATTAGTGTTAAGTGCAAGAGTCGGTGATGTTTAACACTCGTGATTTTGTTACAGGATTATTTTAAATATGAGAAATTATTCAATTTAAAATGAGGTATCGTTGTTAGAAAAGTTAATATCAGAGTTTCATCTTGAAGGTTTTTATACCACTAGAGAACGACTAATACAAAAGAAGGCCAAACACCAGTGTAAAAGTTTGAAATCTTGAACACAACTTGGGAATATGCTCTAATAATATATTTTTTGTGTGTGTTTGGCTCTTGCATGTGGTATGTAGGGTACTATTACATTGTATTAATTTTTTCTGGCCATCCAGTAACTGTATTTAAAATTTTACTTTAAAAAAATAATATAATAAGTCAGCTTATTTTTTCATAAAATGTTTCTTATATGAACTTCTGAGTATTAATAATAAATTGGTGATTTTGAGCCATTCGTATATTTCTTTCAGGCTTCTCATGCTATAAATGTGCCAAACAAGGAAGATAATAGCGAGCAGAACAAGTTGAATAAATTAGTGAAAGATTTGAAAGATGTAATATGTAAAAAAGAGGAAGAAATAGAGGTATGCATTCTTTATTTTATTTTTCATGTAATCAAATGTTTATTTGTGCAGTTAAATGTTCTAATAATTAAACTGAGAAGAACTATACAGTATTACATTGGTGGAGCTCCATATAACTGTTTTATGAACTCACACAACAGATCATGCTTTGCCAGCCTAGGCTTTATACAGTAAGATTTAATGGCTCGTAAATGACTGATGTAAATAGTGTTTTAGTTAACATTTTGTTTGTTTACCCAATAAATTCTGATATTTAACAATAACTGATGTTATTTGATTGTTTATTGACTAATTACTAAATCTCATTACTTATAAATGTGTGGATACTTTAGTCAAGCAACTTACAAATATTGGTTAGTTAACCCTTTCTGATTGTAATCACATGGCTACAGTTGCATTTTATTTTAAATGTTAACCCTTTTCAACCTGTTGGCATTATTTTTGCAACTTCTGTGTTTACATTCATGAAAATAAATAGCTTTGAAATTATATGTACTTGAAACACATACTTTAAACCTAAAGCGTGATAACCATCAAATGTTTTTGAACATGAATTAGATTTTGTTTTGGTAAATTTACAATGTATAATAAAATATAAGCTAGTATGTGATAGATACTGTACCATTATGCAACGTCTGTAACTGTTGACCTGAAAGCCAGGTATCACGCATTCTTAGTATCAAAATACCATCACAAGCATAATGACGTTATGTTTTAGTGTACTTTGTTGAAAGAAATTTTGCAATAAAGTGTTTTATAAATTGTTAAAACTAGTTTAATTAGATAGCATTTATCTCACTGTTTATAAAAGCTATTTATTTAATTGTTTTAGAAATTATGTACAACTGTTTCAAAAAGACCCCTGTTAATCTCTAAACTCATGTGGTATTAAAGTCCACCATAAGAACACATTAGCTTAAAATTACTGTCAGGATTTTTTGTAAAGCTAAAAGAAAGCAAAAAAATAATTACTTCCACAATATAAATGAACATACAAATAGAGGAACCAGTAAACTAAATTAATTCCTATTACATGTACATGGTAAGTAAACAAACGGCACGATGTAATTGGATTATTTGAAGATATACAATCACAAAAAAGTTCTGACACAACAACTGAAAGTTTATAAATTTAAGATTCATGTAAGGAAATAAAGTTACCAAATAGACTAAGAAAGTTATTCATCCTATCCTTCAAACTATATATTAGAGAGTTTGTTAGTTTTAGAACTAGGAAGTTATAAAACAAGAAATACAATGAGTTGAAATTTACAATTTGTGACACCATCAAAGTTTAAACTTTCCTGTTTTCAAACTCTTTCAGCTATTAAAAAGCAACAAACATGTACAAAGACTACAAATTTACAGCTTTATTTTGTACCTCCATGCAGATGAGATGATTAAATATTTCTATTCCCCAGTTTATCGGGGGGAGGGGTATAGTTTATACTAGGGCTAGCAGTCTTTATTGAAAACAACTGTTAATAATGTACACATCAAAACAAAAATTGTAAATCTGAACATTTCAGTTAAAATCGTATTTTGTAGGGGATTTGAGGAGAAAGATCACAGAAGTTTTTAAAACTTAATATTATTTTACCTTATAAAAAACATCATTCTGGGCCAGAAAAGGTTAAAATAAAAAAATATATTCTAAAATTTAACACTTTATTGTAGGTTACAAGACAAAGGCTCTCAAAAGAAGAAGAAAAAATTAAAATTTTAGAAGTAAAAACCCAGAAGAGAGACAAGACAATTCAAGGTTTGATTCAAACTGTTAATAAAAAAGATAAAGAGATACAACAACTCAACAAAATAGTAGCAGACAGACATGAAGCAATAGATTCTATTGATGGTGCTTTCAGCACAGCTCTTTACAAGGCCACAGTTGCAGCTTCTAAAGGGGCTAAAAATGATATTGTTGTAGCAAGGGAAGAACTCAAAACAACTTTGAAAGAGGTAAGTGTGGACTGTATGCATTTAATATTTGTGATTCCTATAGAAAAAAATAAATCTTAGTTATACAAAAGATTTATTGACTTATTCCTAAAGTTGTATGGTACGAGTCAAAAGTTGGGGATCAGAAGGTAATGTTTTTCACAATTACCTTTTCTTAAGAGCTTCCAAAACAGAATTAATTTTTGTCTGTGTACTATAAATGTATATAAGATTGTGTGCATTCTTGTGAACATTTTTCATTAAACTGTGCAAAAAAGAAAAAGTTCAAAATGATGTAAAATTGATGCACCACCGTGATATTTCTAAATAATTTGTTGTTGTTGTTGTTACAAATTGTGTGGTATATCATTAACCTTATAAGAATGTGTGGATGTATTCTTTTCAAAGAGCTGTTAGGGCTGGAGTTAGAAAAATCATAATGATACAGAACTTATGCATGGTGTTGCATACTTTATACTGAAGACTGATATTTGAAACACTTGTATCATTAATATGGTTATTTTGTAACAAGTGTCATACACTACACTCCCGCTGCAAATTTTTTCATACATAGTATATGCTACAGGCTAGTAAATAAAATTATAAATCCTGTAATTAATCTTCAATATCACATAACTATTTATGTAAATAACCTAAAAAGTTTTTTATTAGTTGAGAGAAATTATTCAAATTTGAATTTTTTTTATAGAATAGTTTTAAAATTTACAAACTTGCATATAATTCTTAAATTTGTGATGTTTATTAATTAATAAAAGTGAAGGCAGCTCATGCTGACAAGTGAGAATGCTTTTTTAAATGAAGGTCTGCTTAAATGTACTTCTTTTTTTTTATCCTTTATTGACATATTGATATAAATCTTGATAACTGGTATGTAAGGTTATATAATTCTTTGCAGTAATTATTTCAACAATAAGTAAACCTCTAAACTAAATTTCTGTGGAGGAACTGGCATATGGGGGGAAGTATAATTTAAGCCAGTTTTCTTAGGCTTACTACCAAGTTTGAAGCATATTATTGTTTATCTTCATTATCAGAATAAAATAAATATAAGTAAAGGTTATACAATTTTAAATTATAAAAGATTCTACTGATATTTACTTACCTACATGAACAAAGCTAACCTTACAATTCAAAAATAAAAGTTTGTATAGGGCTAAGGGATAATTGTAAGCAAAATAATTAACACAGAAAAATACATTAGAAAAAGAATAGGTAATTTGTTACTTATTCATAGCAATCAATGAAATAAATAGATGGATAATGTAAGCAGATGTTTAAAGGTGAACTATGCTGGATTTGGTTCTACAAAGTAGACCAAGTTAATGTGACCCTGGCTGCCAGTTTTTTTTTCATGACATGAAAATTGTTATTGAATGTAGAAGCTGCTGTACATAAACTAAAGTAAACTGTGTCAGTGTTAGTATGGTATATTATTATTATGGATTATCCAAATAATACTTGACAAGTATATGAACTTGCATCCTGACATTAAAAATTTAAATCATTCTTGCTATTTAACTTGAGCACTAAACAAGAAACTTTTTTTTTTTCAATACAGTTTGGTATGATTAAACTCCATCCCAATCAAATCTGAAGTACAAGCTGGATTAGGCCTAGTAAATAAAGAAGGAATACTATTTCACTATCAATGAAATCAGTAATAAATGCTGTATAACTTGTGAATTGCCTTTCTGGTTCTAGCCAACCAGTTTCTGATAGCAATTAGACCACATTTTTATTAATGTAGACCTGTGTAAATAATGATGAAACCATAAATCAGTAAAATTCACTATGAATAAAGTGTTCTGGTTGAAAATTGCACAGAATTATAAAAAAAGAAAATAAGAATTCATATTCCTAATATTGTGATTAAAAATGAATGTTACTCTTTGTAGAAGGTTTTTTGAAATATTTATTTCTTACTTTGACACGCTTTTTTCCCAACCATATAGGTCCTCTTCAGCAATTCAAAAGAAGCAGGCACTGCTAGTGGTTCTGCCAGTTTTTCAAAAGAAGATTTATTAGAAGAAGTGCAGAGACTGAGAATTGAGCTTCAGATGAAGGATGACAATATTAAAGTGAGTAGATAGAGGTTTTATTTTAGTAAGATCTTAAAATAATTATGCTAGACAAAGTGAAGGTCTTGAAGTTTCACAATCTTTAATATGATTTCTGTTTATTGAGAAATTGGGCTTTAAATATTTCTTCAAACTCAGTTTTTTAACCCTAACACAACCAGTGAGTACTATTCAGATTTCAGATACACTTCTCTATGTCATATTTCAAAATTTTAAAAATATGTATTTCTAACTACAGTATTTCAACAATTTATAACTCAAAAAATAGTTTAGGATTGATATTCTGTCATTTTGTAAGTGTAATTCACAAAGAAAAAAGAAAAAAATGTTCTAACTTATTTGTGATCAGCTCCAAAGGAGTCTTGTCTGTAAACAACATACTTATTGATTTTTTTAGAATTTTTTTGCCCATTCCAAAGCATGGTTTATAGTTGAGGATATTGTTGTGTAAATTTTGATTTTTTCTTCTGTGAGGTTTTATTGTTACAGTTCTTTTTACCAAAGCACGTTTTCTGAACAGTGACAAATGAAGAACAGTTTTGGAAATAGTTACAGACAATATTTAAATAACATTGGATAGAACAGATTATAAACTTGAAGTCAGTGTATTACGAGTAAAGTGCTTTAAGCAATAATTTATAATTTCATGGGAAAGTGATAAGACTAATCTCCTACAGAACACAATGGGAAGTTTTCATTTTTATTTTTTCAGTGAAGGGTGACATAGATGTAGGAAGTTGTGGGCTTGAGCACCAACATCTCGCTCTTTTAACTTTTATTTCTTTTGATGATCTTATTTTATATTATTATGAATTTCTTCATATGAGACTGGTGATTGGAGGTTAAGACTGATAGACAGTGTATCCCCACTGCAGTGTGGGTCCCACTTGCACAGTTGCCTCCAAAACCTCCATAAAGCTATGGAAAATTTCTCCTATGAACAGACATAAGGTAAATCTTATTATGTTTTGGTGAGTTTGGCAGGTGGCAACAAAATATTCCAGTGGATCAAGTCCCTATCTGTTGAATGTTACTAAGTTTATCATATTCACAAAATGTTAAAAGTAAGAAAAGTATTTATTGAAAAGAAACATTCTTAGAAATCATTTGATCTCAACCAAAGAATATTGTTAACAAAACATTTTTTGCTTAGCCTTACAAAGGTAAGTGTGACATTATGAAAGGTCATTGAATAAACCTTTGTTAGTTTGTACAATGTTTTTATGCTTTATATAGCCAAAAATGGAGAATATTACATTCGTTACAGCACCAAACAATATGTTAATAATATAATTTAAGTTAAAACTGACTGGATATGTATTAAATAGAATACTACATTCGTTACAGCACCAAACAATATGTTAATAATATCATTTAAGTTAAAACTGACTGGATATGTATTAAATAGAATACTACATTCGTTACAGCATCAAACAATATGTTAATAATATAATTTAAGTTAAAACTGACTGGATATGTATTAAATAGAATACTACATTCGTTACAGCACCAAACAATATGTTAATAATATAATTTAAGTTAAAACTGACTGGATATGTATTAAATAAAACTTTCTGATCAACAATAAAAAAATTAAATTCTAAGGTGAGAGGAAGAATTTTAATCTTTTTCTTAAAGCAAAAATTTGATTTTATTTAATAAGCTTCTACTAAGGTTCATGCAATTTGTTTAAGTGTTTTTGTCATGAGAAAGAATAATTAAGGGATATCAGTGTCACCTCATGATTTTGGAAAGGGTAAATACCAAGTATCGTGCCATTATACATGTCTGTGAATTACATTAACCCTTAACATTTTCATAGTTCTTCGTATATTTAGTGTCTTGAAACAATGAGGTAAAATAGTACAAAGTAAAAGTTATTCTTGCCTCTTTTATATGTTTAACCCATTACCTACCATGGCCATTTTGTCTTATTGTTAGAGCAAAATCACATTTGTGAATGAAAAAATTATAAAGAACTTATTTCAGATTTTATTTTAGTAAATAGTAGCATAACATTCAATTATTTGTACAAATTTGTATTATTTAATGAAGTTTAAAGAGAAATTTAATTTTAAAAAATCCCAAAATACGTTTCATTAAAATTTTTCCTTGCACTTCAGCACTGCTCCTGCCATCTGTGATTGGTATCTAAACCTTTTTTATAGTCTGTTTTCTTTATAAAACAGCGTCTGGGCATGTTAAACCTCAGTTGTAAAACTTTTAGCCAATCCTAGTTGAAGGTGTCAATTTCAGTACCATGTTATTCCAATCGCTGTATTTCATGTTCAACAAATCATAGGATGATAATCAAAGCATGTGACGAAACGTTGTTCTCTGGATTTTACAATATGAATGTAGGTGGTGCTTATTATAGTAACTACCATTTTATGTAGAGGTATGTAGTATTGGTCAATAGTTCTTTTTTGTAAGCCTTAGAAAACTTGCTTCTGGAAAAAACTGCATGGGATGTGTGTGACTTTTATAATTTTTCTATAGTAGATTAAGTCATGCTGTATTGTATATCTATCTATATTAATCATTATATTGAAAAATTAAATCAAAATAGATATATTTTTTAGGAAAGAAGTTGATCCACGAATGTTAGGGTTAAGAGCTATCGAGTGGTGAGTGCAAGGTCTTTACATGAATTAGGCTTAGCACTTTGAACTGAAAGTGTTTGTGATTTTTTTATATTCTTTTGCATTTACATTAGTAGTTTTAAGTTCAATAATTCAGCATATTTTTTTATATTTAGTTCATAATAATATGATTCACTATTTAGAATGATAAACTTGTGTGATTTGTATGTATTACTACTAGTAACAGTACCACATAAGAATTTTATATTTTTCCTTCTTACTATCTTTACTTTGTAGTAAGACCCACACTTTTGATGTTGTTGCT